CTTTTCCATTACTGTGTTTTTTTTCTGTTATAAATATATCAAAACTGTTTATCCATCCTACTTCTGATGTATGTTCCTATTTTGGCTATTACAAACAAATATTTCTAGGAATATTCTTGTACATGTTTTGGTGGACACACATGTGTACATTTCAAGTGGACATAGGCCTAGGAGTGGGATTACTAAGCCCTAGGTAAGCGATGTGCCCAGCATTAGTAGATTCAGCTGAAATGTTTTCCAAAGTGGCTGTACCATTTACTTTCACCAAATGTGAGAGTTCCTGTTGTGCCACATTCCTAGCCAACATTTGGATTTTGGTTCTTAATTTTAGTACTCTGTTATTATATAGCAGTATCAGGGAATTGCAAATTCCCTGATAACCAATGATCTTGAACACTTTTTTATGTTTATTGCCCACTTGGATATCATCTTTTGTGACGTCTGTTCAAATATTTTTTCTAGTATTTCTAGTGTATCATCTATAATTTACTGATATGTAGGAATTCTTTATAATGTCTAGTCTACCTTTGATAGATATAATGTCTATAATGATATATATGTCTTTTATAGATATAATGTCTATAGTATACCTTTGATAGATATAATGTTTATAATGTCTAGCATACCTTTGATAGATATAGGTATTGCAAATATCTTGGAGAAAGCTGGTTTTGAAATTATTAAACAGTAGCTTCTCACAGAAGAATATTGACTTTTTACTTAAAAATATTACTTTATTTCTTTCAAACTGATTGGACAGAAATATGCGATGACAGGGATTTGTGTCCTCAAGGACGTGGGCTGTGGACTTCACCCCGGGAGGAGTGGAATCATCCGGGGACCTTACCCAGAGGACCTCATACAGAACAGTGATGCTAGTGAACTATAGTCATTTGGTATCTGTGGGTGAAGATGGTTTTCTTGAGTGCTTCACAAGGTGCTCAATAAAATAAATTTCCATCTCTGAAATGCTTCACTACTTTGAACTCAGGTTACAGGGAATAAGGTTTTTTTAATCCCTCTTAGACTAAACAAGGTGTCTTTTCATCCTATGTCACATTTATACTCATTAAAATGTACCTTCTGAATTACTTGAAGGCCATGAAGCCCACACAGATGTGCCTGAGTCTTGTATCATTTCCTACTATAGGGTATCCTGTTACCAAACCAGATGTGATTGTCTCTTTTGAGAAGAGAGGTGTTTGGATCATGCAGAAAGAAATCCCAAATTCAAGTTGCACAGGGAAATAGGAAGAGAACAGAATGGAGATGATGACTGTAAGACACCAGTGGGTCGGTGAGGGCTGGGCACCTTTGAAAGTTCAGAAATGACTTCCTAAAAGAGGTTAACATTTTTTGCTAATTCTAAATTGTTAGTCTTGTGAGTTATTGTCTGAAGGTAATCATGCAATGAGATGGTGAGGCAGTCTGGCCTCTTCTTTCTGCTTATTCTCTTAGTTACCTCAGTTATTTTCAGCTTTCTTGGAAGGCTTCCATTCTTTTGTTTTTAATTAATATTTTTATATTAATGAAGTACCATTGTTTCACATCCTTGTTAATATTTTGGCAGTATAGGATTTCTCCCTCAGGTGTGGGCACCGTAGCGCTCCCACCACCGAGGCACCCATAGGCCTCCACCATAGTCCATGGTGCTCTCCCCGTCCCCGTCCTCACCCCTCTTCCTCCCCTTCCTCCTCCCCCTTTGGATTCCTTAGATCTATATGATCAGCTTTCAAGGGTTGGTTTTAGTTTGTCTTTGTGGAACAAAGTGACACCATCGAGCATTTATCTTTCTCCTTTTGGCTTATTTCACTTAACATAATCCAGAAGGCTTCCATTCTTTTTTGAGTCTCCCCCGCCGCCCCCTCCCCACCACCACCTGCCAAATCCTGGATCTGCTACTTTTTCAATATCCTTTTTTTCCTTCTTGTGGCTCCCTAAGCTATTTCATCTTCTCTCCTCCATTTTAAGGTATTTTTCTTAAACAATCGAAATCATTTATAGTTATTGTTACTTTTTTGTTCCAATGTCTATTAGAGCAATATTGGGTTTCTGCCCCCCCCCCCAAGCTCAGAGTATAGGAGAGATGTGTACTTTGAATCTCGTTCTGATTGTTATCCATCTATCTGCTTCTGACAAAGGGGTAGTCACATGGTATGCCTTCTTTCCAGAAGCCTGGCAAGCTGATGACCAGCTGGAATGTACCAGGAAAACCAAAATAGACACACGAGGCAAGCTGCATTCATTAACAAGAAAAATGTGACTAAGGAGAGAGGCGATGAATGTAATAGATTTCCTCAGAACACAGGGGTACTTTCTTCATTGCATACACCTGATATGTAAGACACACGGACACAGTTTTAAAGATAACTTAGGCTTTGCAGCTCAGAAATATGAATATAATGGATATGGGAAATTATTAATTCATGGCAGGTGTGAGAAAGGAACAGAATGAAACCTCACAACTCGCGTGGGAAATGTCATAGTCATACCTGTCCTTTGTTTAGCATAACATCACGCAAGCTGGAGAGAAAACCTGTGAATTTTTTTGTGTAGAAACCCCTTAGCAAGCATTCACTCTTTATTGTTTATCATATCACTTGTGCAGGAGAGAAAACCTATGAATGTTCAAAATGCAGAAACACCTTTAATCAAAAGGCACTCCTCAGTATACTTCAGAGAACACACACAGAGAGAAACCATATGGATGTAGTGAACGTGGCAAATCCTTTAGAGAGAAATCAACACTGCGCAGATATCCAATAACTCATATGGGAGAGAAATCTTATATATGTTCAGACTGCATCAGAGCCTTTCCCCTAAGCTGAGTCTCAGTGCTCATCAAAGAATTCATTCAGGAGAAAAAACTGATGGATGTACCATATGTGGAAAAGTGTTCTTCCAGAATTATTTCATGTTCCATCAGAGAGCTCATACAAGAGCTCATACAGGAAAGAAATCCTATGACTGTCCTGAATATGAGAAAAAAATCCTTTCAAAAGTTAAAACTGATTATGAGTTAAAGAACTCAGAGGAGAGAAACTTTATGAAAGAACTAAAAATTGTCTGTGGCGGTGGGGTATGGGTGAGTGGGTGGTGGATACATTATGGTGGTAATACCTGGTGAGGATACCCCAATGTTACCTTAATTAAAAATAAATAAAAATGAAAAAATAACAGACAGAAAACCATAAAAATGGAAAATCCTTTACAGAAAAGTCAAATAAAAAGAAAATGGTGAGGTGGGAAATCATGCTTTAGCTAAGGTGGTCAGGGAAGGCCTTTCTGAGGACATGACATTAGAACTTAAACTTCAAAATGAAGCACCAGTCATACTGGGGATGAAGCGCATTCCAGGCAGAAGGAATAGCAAGAGTCAAGGTCCTGAGGGAAAAAACTGGCCTCTGTATGCATTTGCATGGGTAGATGATGAGTGACTATTTACAGCAGAGGTTGTTCAAGGCTATGTAACGTTTTGAAGCCTTGAAGATGTGAGAGCCTTCAGCTGGAAGCCAAACCTCACTGTAAATCTGGGCACAGATATCAGAAAAACCCGGTGTAATTAATTTCAATCAGCACAGTACAGTAGAAATGGCATAAAGGTAATATTTCAGATTTAAGGCCAAACTCTCATAGACGTTAATAAAATCTATTATTTAGAACAGCTGTTTTGTCATCACTCCTAATGGGGAATTGGTGCCCTCTATAAGAAAAAAAGAGTTTACGGAATGATATAAAGTTACAAATGTAAAGATAACCACTAAAGGGGCAATGATTATAAATATACTATAGATATTCTAAATTTTACTAGAAATGATTCATAATCAGAACAATGTTAAAAAAAAAAAAAACATTAGGGCATTAAAGTAGCGAACATTTACGTCAGTATTTCTGCTCCAGCCTGTTCTACAGTCAAGATTTTGGCTGCATTTCTGTTATAGAGCAGCTTCTATGTGTGAGCCTTTCTTTTTCCTGAATCTGATCATGCAGTCTTCCCAGAAATAAATTAAATCCACCAGAATTTATTTCTGCTGCCCCCTAGTTTTACTGAGAAATAATTGACATACATTGTTGTATTTGATGAATAAATATCATATTCAGCAATTGCTGTCCAGAATGATAGCCTTGCGTGCAGTGACAGCTGTTTTTAGGATCATCCCTGCTTATCTTGGATGGAGGGAATGCTGCAAACAAGGCTCTGGGTAGTTAGTATCCAGAGTATCCACCCCCAAGCAAAGAATGCAAATGAAGGATTGTTCCTCTCAGGGGAGATTGCCTAGGGGGCCGGCCAGAACAAGGAGAAAGAATGGTAAATTCAAATTCCTAAATTCTCTGCTGAAGACACAGACTGAAACCTAGGAAGTCTATAAAAAGAAATGATTACCTTTTGCATCCATTACTGGCCTACGTTTCCAGTCTGTCATTTTTGAGAAAGGGAGTGGGGGACATAGGGTTAGAATAGTAATATGTGGGAGGATGTGGGAGAATGTGATTACTTTAAACCTCTAGTGCTGATGTAAGTTGAAACCAATTGCATTTTCCCTGAAGAGACTGTATCTGCTTTAACTGAAGAATGTAGACCTCAATGCGGAGTGATACTTCCTAAGAGAAGCCAATTTTCATGTCCTTTTTCACCCCACCCATCTCTCTCTGGACCTATAACTGCCTTCTGTACCAAGCACTTTTTGTGCATTACAAACATTAATTTATTTAATTTTCCCCCAAACCCCATGAGGTAGTTTCTATCATTATCATCCTCACTTAACAGATGAGGAAACTGAGACACAGAGAAATTAAGTGCTTCAACCAAGGCAACACAACCAGTATGTGGTAGATGTGGTATCTGAACCCAGGAGAACCTATGCTCTTAATCACTACACTATACTTCATCCCTCACTCCCCAAGTGATCTGGTGTCCCCTAATTAGAACTTTGAATAATACACAAAGGAATTGATTGAAGGAGGCACTGGAAAAATGAAGAGCCATGCAGCAGAGGTCTCTTGCATTGTTTATAGATACCATCCTTTTTATAAAATCCACAAAAGTAAGAAAAGAATGGAAAATAAAACCTTGATCTCTGGGAATCTAGGTCATCAATCATTTTTGCTTATTTCCGGTTTTAATTGCAAATTACAGCCCTTGAGCCATTCAGATAAATCATGGCCAGAGCAGTGCCGGGTCCAAGAATCCCTGGGAAATGAAAGGAGAGAGGATGAAGTAGGTAGGTTGATGGGGTATCAGCACCACCTCCCAGCTGCCCAGGGTCCAAGAAGCCATCTCCATGAACTTACCAGGCCATCATACCAATCTGTGAGGATACCACCTGCTTGGCACACAAGATGTCATCCAGAATGTGGCGATTAAGCAGGTCTGGGGAGAAGAGAGGAACGTGGTCACCTGGTTTCTGGGTTCCTTGGGGCCTGAACAACCTCAACTACTACATTGGCTGATTTTAGATGACCCTTGATTAACTTGTAAACTGGTTATGAATTACCTCAGCTGCCATGTTGGCTGATTAGGAAGCTACTCAACTGCAAGGTTAGTCAGCCTTGGTGACTTCAAACACTATGTTACCAAGGCCTAGATAAACTCAACTCCCATTTTGATTGGTTACTAATGACTTCAATCTCCACGTTGGCTAGTCCAACTTCAGCTACTAAGGTATCTGGTTTTAGATTATCTCAACTGTCATGGTAGCTGGACCAGGATGACTGACCTTAAACTGTCATTTTAATAGTTAATGATACCCACTGCCATGATGACCAGTCCTGGATAACCTCAACTGGCATTTTTAATGGTTGTAAATAATTTCAACCTCCATGGTAACTGGTCCAGGATCTCAACTTCCAGTTTAGCTAATCCTGGACTATTTCAACTTCTATATTGTCTTAGCAGCTACTCTTGCCCACCTGTGACTATGTAGGTGCCTCTCTTTTTCTTTCTCCTTTTCCTAATAAGCCTGTCCTTTTAAAATGTAAAAAAAAACACCACACTTCCATAATGTCTTAAACTAAACAACTTCTACTTTCTAAGTAGTCTTGAAAAACCTCAGCATTCATGTTACCCTGTGCTTGGACAACTCCAGCATTTAAACTGGCCAACCCAGGGTGACTTCTTTTGTCATTGTGGCAGGACTTGGACAACTTCCACCTCCATTTGGACTGCCCCCAAATAACATGAATCTCCATTTTGGCCTGTCTTATACAACCTCGAACACCATTTTGATCAACACTGAACAACTTTTACTGCTATTCAATTTTGTCCTCAACACTATCACACAAGTTCTCTCCTTTCTGCACTGAGGTACCTTGTTTCTGTTTCTACAACCAGACTTCTGCCTCTTGCTTCAGAGCCTGAACTACCTCAACCCTAAGTCAGGATAATCTCTCCTCCATTCCATATGGAGTTAAGTTTCTTGTTTGCTGAGTCCCATAAGACTGCACCCTCCATTCTAGGTGAGTTTTGGGAGCTCTGAATCCTCCTGACCTAGCCAACCTCTCAGCACAGCCTGGATCAGGATACAGGATGCTGTTTCTAAAAGCCAGGGAACTCTGCTCCTTTCCCTATCATTTTTTTTTTTTGCTTGTTACTGGAGATTATGGCTTAGATAACCTTGCTGTCTGTTTTAGGAGTGGGGCCAGGCAGGGATTCAGGGTGTCCGAAATTGCTGCCTCACCTCGACACTCCATGTGACAGAGGTTCTGGGTGGGTGTAACACCATTGTCACACCACCAAGCAGAATTCAGCTGGAAAATGCCATATTCACTACTGCCATCAGGATTATGGTCCACGAAGGAGGTATCAAAGCCACTCTCATAGTGTGCCATGCATAGCCCTGGGACAGGGAGGGGGTAAGAGCAGGTAGGTATGGTGTTTGGGATTAGGGGAGGGTAGGAGGGGTTGGGGACAGGGATGATTGTCATCTCAGTTGTGGGGGTGATGATCTTGGTCTGGTGGTAGTGTTGATGTTGGTGATTCTGGTAAAATATCAGTGATGGTGGTGGTGATGATATTCATGATGATAACAGAAGTGATGCTATTTGTTGATGGTAATGATGGTGCTGATGGGAGTGATGAGGGGGATGGTTGTGAGGCCAAAGATGGTGATGACGACATCAGAGTTAAAGCAGTCATCACAGTTGGTCAGGGGATGGCTGAGAGGATCATTTCCTGACCTGGGGAGGTGAGAAATTACATGGGGAGCCTGGATCTGAGTGTGGTGGGAAGCTCAGGATGTGAGTGGGACTTGGGGTAATTGGAGTCTCACAGTCTCCAACGCTGTAGCCCTTGTAGTTGTTGAGACCCGCCTTCTGCAGCCTTGATGCCAGTTCACAGCGTTCATATATCTTGTTATCCACAGTGGCAACCATCAGCGTGGCCAGGATGACCACTGCAAAGCCCCAAGCCTGCATTTTGATGCCCACAAGCCTTGCAAGATGGCTCCTTACTCCAGTCTTTACCCCACAGTGTTCAAAACCAAGAGCATTCTGGAACTCTGGACTCTATGAGCAAAGATCTAAGTGAGAGATTCTGGAACACAGAAGTGACCTCACCATCTGTCCCAGTGCCAGATCTGTTAGAGATACACGCACAAGCAAAAAGAAAGATACTGACATACACAGAGATGGAAATAGACAAAAACAGAGAGAAACCCAGGGAGAGAGGGTCTAGGGACACACAAGGGACAGACAGGGCTCAGCTACTGGGCCTCATACTTGGCCCCATTCCTCAATACTGTTCCACTCCACTCTCATTCATCATGTCTATCACTGGGTTCCCTCCATTCCCCCCACTCTGCTGAGTAGTCAGAGAGGAGACAGCATGTTACCTACACAACAAAAGAGAAGAAAGATACAGTGAGAAAGTAACAAACAGGAGAATAGAAAGCATTTGGAAACAAAAAATAGAAGTGCCAAAATAAAGATATGTTAAAAAGAATGGCAGGTAAAGTGAAGGAAATCTCTCACAGTAGTTCATCATGTCTTACTGTCTGTTGTCTCCACTTCCTGACACTGTCCAATGGCTCCCTTCACTCCCTTGTGGCCCAGCCTCCAGCACTGGTCATTAATGTGGGGCCTCATTCTCACCCTCACTCTCTTTCTGCCCCACCCTTCTACTCTCTCAAATGCTGCCCCCGTAAGGCCCCATTTCCAGGAACTCTCCCCCACATTACTCCTCCCAATGCTAATTTGTCACTCATACAATAAAGCAAGGGCTTCACTGCCTCCATTTCCTCTCACTCTGCTTCTCATTATCTTCTTCATTGACATTCACTCTCGATGTAACCCCTACTCCCACCTGTCACTTATCACCCACCACTGTCACACTCTGCCTCGAATTCACCATGTTCTGCTCATTGGGCCCTTTTTCCCCACTTTACTCACCCTGGGTCATGTGACCTTCATCCCCTTCCCTTTGCCTCACAATACCTACATGTACTCGCCTTCTGTGCTCTACTTCCACCTCTCTCAACCTGCCGCACCCACTCACGCACTGGCTTCTGCTCACTTCCCTGAGCTGAATCACACCAGGGCCCCTGCATGTTCCGGGAACAAACTCTGCCCTGAAAGCGCCTGTCTGGTGGCAGCCAGCCCCTCTTTCACCTCTAGCCACTCTCTGTCCCTCATAGTATTCCCACACACACAACCGCGCTGACTCACGTACTCACTCTCTACCGCTTACATCTCCATTCCCTCCGATTCTGTCCCTCGTGCACCCCTTTCCTCTATGCCCCACATGACCTACATTCACTTCACTCTACTGCTCATTCACTCCTTCCATTGCCCTCTATCCCTCATCTCTCCTGGCCCCGCTTACTCCCAATTTGCCCTTCACCATTGCTCACCCCACCAGTCCCATGTGTCTGCCATTGACTGATACATCGGCCAAGACACAACACACTGATATATCGTCTGCACCTACCACCACTACCACAAACCCCAGGGACTTCAGGGGGTGGGAAGGGCAGCCCCTCTTGGAGGCAGGTCGTTCAGGCTTAATGTGGCAGCTCCAAGGTCAACAGAGACCTGCTCCCATGCTTTTACTCGGCCATACTCACTTGCTACCTCATGGTCCAAAATGACTGCTCACAGTTGGCAACATTTTTTATATTTTTGGTAAAATGCATTTTAAGATTAGCAACTGTAATCATGACTCACCAGTGAGGTGGGGCAGCTTACTCATTGTCTTTGGGTGCGAGTGTCACATTGTGTAGGCTGTGTGGTGAGACCAGTTTTCAGATTTCCACACTCCTTCATCTAGTGACCTGCTGCTTAGGCTGCTGTATGAGGAAGTTGCACCTGCAGGGGCTGATGGCAGAGGATGCCCAGGACAGAATGAAGGTCCTAGCTTCTAAGCCTTTTGAAAAACCGTCCTCACATAGCTTGTGGATGTGCACTGTGAAGCCTGGGGAAGTTTCTGAGGGGCTGTATCCCTGGCTCATGAACCTTCCTGGAGCTGGCGATCTCTGCATCCCAACACCAGTCAACCTTTAAGGATTTTCCCCTCTGTGTGTGTGTATGTGTGTGTGTGTGTGTGTGTGTGTGTGTACACAAGGTGGTTGGGGGTGCACAAGGGTGGTGGGGGGTTTGCAGGCTGGAAGAGGGCAGACTGGGATGGGCCCTAAAGGTCCAGCCCCCCTCCTATTTTCCACCTCCTAATGCATCCAGAGTACTGACAAATCTTTTACCCAGGAGGTGCTGATCCTTCAGGAAGCAAGAGATTTGGGTTACTCCCTGCTTTCTCTCTTTGATTTATCTGCCAGGAAGCTCCTTCCCTATTTCTGGTATAAACATACATTGGCTAGTTTTAATGATTCTGGAATGAGGCCCCTCAGATACTTTCTGGAAGTTCTGTGGGATGTTGAATAAACAAAGAAAGAATTACTGGGTAGAAGTTAAGGATGTGATCTTGAGAACTTTTGTAAACTTGGGCACATTACTTATTCTCTCTGTGACTAGTTTCCTCATCTGACCAGTGAGGACCATAGCACTGTTCACAGATGCGGGAACTACAGGAGGAAGGTTGTCTCATGTATATTGCATGGGTCTGGCACACACTCAACTAGGTCGAAGCCCCATTATCACTTGCTGGACTATTGGCAAGAGTGTTGTTATTGGTCTTCCTGTTTTTACCCTTGCCCTCTGTAATCTGTTTCCACAAAGCAGCCTGCAGGCCATCTTTTCATTTTTGTCTCATTCAAAAGATGTATGTATATTGGCTTTCCCCTGGCGGTGCAGCGGTTGAGTGCTGGGCTGCGAAGCTGCCTGCAGCCTCTGCCGCGCCGGTTCATTCCCCGGCTGCCAGCGAGGGTCCCACAAAAGATGTGTGTGTGTGTATATATATATATATATATATATATTCACACACATCAAATTTTATTAAATAATCAGAATAATAATCTCTTACATAGTGTTTGCTATGTGCCAGCCATTATTCCAAACCATTTACCATTATCAACTCATTTATCACCACAATCTTAATGAGGCAGGTATTGTCATTTTATAGATGAGGAAACCTAGCACAGAGAAGTCAAGAGTCCTGCCCTAGGTTACAGAGCTAGTAGGTGGGAGTGTGAAAGCAAGCTGTCTCCATTGTGTTCATTTGTTTTTTTGGTTCTGTTTTCTTCCCTGCTATACTCCCAAGTCTATACTCCCAAGAACACCACCTGGCATAGAGGAGGTGCTTATGCAAATCCCTGTGGAGGTCAGGTTCCAGTGGTGCAAAACAGATAATAAACAAGTAAAATAAACGAGCATTTTATATTTTTTTAACGTTAATATATAATGCTAGGTTGTTTCAGACTTCTTTTTAAAATCTGATCCCTCTTATGGCTTCCTATTATGTCAGAATGAAATATGAGCTCTGTCCCAGGCAGAGGGGGCCCTACAGCATCTGGCCCCCACTCGCACTCCCTTTCCCACACCTCCTATACTGCCAACACACTGACACTCTCCGTTCCCCCAACACACCAAACTCGGTCCAACTTCAGGGCCCCTGCAACAGTTGTGCCCTCCACCAGAAAGCTCTTTGCTTCAGATATTTGCGTACCCAGCTTCTTGAGGTCTGCATAACTGTCACCTCCGACGAAAGGAGATCCAAAGAAAGACACCTGTCAGCCACTACTCAAACACCTCCCTTTCAGCCCAGGGTGCGTCTCTCTGTGTCTATGTCTCCTGCAGCGGTTTTATTCTTCAGCTTGTTTGTCTGTGTACCTTTCTTCAAGCGCTGGGCTGTCAACTCTCAGCCCCAGCCACTGGATGGAGCCAATGATCTTTTTCTGTTTCCCGCTTTTGTGCACCCAAGGCAATGCCGCCACGCACCCCGCCTTCCAGTTCGAATTACACCTGCAAACCCGATGCTGCCATCCAAGTATAAAGCACCAAATTCCGGCCTAACAGAATTTCCCTTCATTGGGCTCTTCCCCTCCCCGCATAGGAAATTGGTTTGGAGTCTTAGGAATGACGGCCTCTGAAAAATAAAGTAAACACCTGCTTAACTCGGCCGCCCACGAGGTGCACCACACGGTGGGCGCGGTCACCGCCTGGGAGCAGTGACGTCACCGTCGAAACTGTCTGCGCCTGCGCCATGGCCCGTCCCCTTGCGTCGGGCGGGCGGGAGAGTGGGCCCCATGTTGACTATTGGCGGACGCGGGCTCAAAGCCCACACTGAGGGTGCGCATACCAGGCGCCGCAGCACTGTGTGCTGCGGAGCCGACTCTGTCCCGAAGCGGAAGTGCTTCTGGGGGCCTGTTCTTGTAACGGTCTCCTCGGCCGCTAGCTGAGAATTGTGGAAGAGTGAGATGGAGGGGGCGAGTTCTAGGGGTGAAGGGAGGTTTGGGGGAGTCATTGATGGAGGGTTGCGGAGTGAGTGATGGGGGGCCGAGAGGTCAGTGCTCAATGGTGGACAGAGTTACGGGGCTAGTCCGCTTTGAATGGGGGATTATTAAACTTTGGCTTTTACACCTTTTCCAGCACAGTGACCAGCGCTAAGGGTTCATAAGCACCCTTCAGGCGCACCCCTCCTGTCACTCTGCCCCTTCCCTCTACCCCATCCCCGAGATAAGGGTCTGCTGTGAATGCCCCAGCTGAAGTGAACTGCATCCGAAGTCTTCCCTCCGACTCCTGCTCCGAAGGACCCCAGCGAGGTGAGAAGGAAGAGGAACCTGAGAGGACTCAACTTACCTGGAGCCTCCCGCGAGCCGGGGACTTGCGAATGGTGGGCGGGGCCAGGTGCTGCTTTGGGGAGGTCGAGTGGAGGGTCCCCAGGGCCGATGGCTGAAAACGTCATAGGGACTAATAATTTGAAAGCATTTTTTGCTTCTTGGCTTTTAACAAATAAGTACCACATTTGAATTATAGAGTAATGAAAAAACAGGAGAAGAAAATCTAAAGGAACTAATGTTATCCCCCTACATTTAAATGTCCATCCGTAGACATTTTTATAATGTATAAAGGGTATACATTTTTAAACATGCATAGTTTTAAAATGGGTTCCTGCAGTTTTATAACCTACCTTTTTTTATTTAGAGGTTTACTGTGATTAGCTTAAAAAATTTTAACATACGGTAATTTAGATACATGTACCGAAAAGTACACTGATAAGTTCCAGTCATTATTTTTAATAGCGATATAGCATTTCATCCCTTGCATTGCCTTATTAATACCATATGATGAATCATTTAGGCTCGTTTAAATTTGGCACTGTTAAAATCAATGCTGAGGTAAAGGCGCAGAGAAATCATGATAAATTTCATTAAGGAAGATACCTAGAAGTACAATTTCTGGGTCAACACACAAGTACATATATTACAAATCCTGTTGTATTAGATGGTCACGTGAGGAAAACAAGAATACACAGGTGGTTGTTAAGAACACATGGTTGCCCAAACTTTCACATAACCCTGCTGGTCTGAGGGGATTTCTAGGCAGATAATTCTGTGCACCCCAAGCCTGATGGGGGTCTCTCATATGCTCTACTCTTCTTCATTCTTCAGCTCAGTCTTCACACCTATCTTCCCTTTCCCCAAGAAAAGCAGGAAATGGCTGAACTCCAAGTAAGTATGTTATTTCTTCCTTACTCTTACTGTATATGATGAGCCATGGAGAAATCTCTTCCATGAAATGGGAGATTATTAATAAACAAACATTAGGATCAGGGGAAAAAGAGCAAACAGATCAAGGCCAGATTAGAATGTGAACATGTGTGTAGCAAATACTAATGTACTGATGTTGAGCTGCAGATTTCTCTTTGAGCCTTTGGCAGCCAGAGGAAAATGTAACCTGTAACCTGACTCACTTTACTCATCAGGAGAGAGCACACCACATTGTCAGGGAAGTAAAGGTTTCCTGCAGTTGCCTACAGGACATTTATTTGTTGGGTTTTCTTGTGGATGGTGGAGTTGCTTGTAGCCACAACCTAGTGACATTTGCAGTCCCTGGTTTCCTGCAGATATTTCCTGTAGTGTTCCTCGGTGAGCTAAAGACATAGTATAATAATGCGTTTTGGGAATGGAATATCTTAGGGAACTTGGTTATGTTTCAAATAATTTCTTTTTTTTTTAAGAGGCATGTGTTTTTATTTATTTATTTGTTTGTTTTTTGTTTATTTGTTTGTTTATACAAGCACTGGGTACAGTCAGAAGCACGGGAGGGTGAGAGAATTCACCAGAGCCAGAGCGGGGAGCAGAGCAGGCAGAAGGACCAAAGTACACTGCTGAGGGGAGCAGCGGGCGGCAGGAGAGGTCTGCGCACCATGTGGGACCCTCCTCCGGTGGCCGGGGAGCAGCCGGGGATTGAACCGGCACCACAGAGGCCTTGGGCAGCTTCGCAACCCAGCGCTCAACCTCTGCGCCACCGGGGAGGCCCTCAAATAATTTCTTGTAGTAATTTTCTCATTTGGGCTTTTGATTCTCATCTGCAGACATCTGCAGTTTTCTTTCTTTCACTTTAAAAGCCAGTTTTTTTAAATTACTGTACAGTAAAATTGATTTTGTTGTCAGGTCTATAAATGTTAACACATGTATAGATTGGTATATGAATCTGTAGGCTAGATAATTTTTTCATCACCCTAGAAAACTGCCTCAGGCTCTCCCTTTATAGTCCTGTCCTCCTCTACCTAGAACCTCAGGCAACCACAGATCACTTCTGTGTCACTATAGTTTGTCTTTTCAAGAATGTCATGTAAGTGGAATCATACTGTATATATATAACTTTTTTAAATTAAACTTTCTTTTTAGATAATTGATTGACATGCAGTTGTAAGAATAATATAGAAATTTCGTGTACCCTTCACTAAGTTTCCCCCAGTGGTAACATCTTGCAAAACTGTAGTACAACCGTAGTGACATGGTTAAGACATAGTTCCATCCCTTATGTTGCCCTGTTATAGCCAACCCCCGCCCCCGCTTATCCCATTCCTAGACCCCTAATCTCTTCTCCATTTCTGGAATTTTGTCATTTCAAGGATGTGATATAAATAGAATCATATATTATGTGACCTTTTGGGATTGGATTTTTTTTAATTTGGGGGTCACATTTTTGCTATTCCATATGTGCACATCGCACTCACCCTCACCAAACCACCAGGGCCAATATCCCCATCTGCCTCCCTAAACCCATCCCCTCTATACCCCCTTTCCCTCTGGCTTTTATGATGTTTAGGTGAGTGCTGTGTATTTCCATTTTATTTAGCGTTTTTTTTGCATAAATGGATGTTGAATCTTGTTGACTACTTTTTCAGCAGCTATCAAGATGACCATGTGATTTTTATCTTCGCTTTTGTTTATCTGGTGAATGACATTAATCAATTTGCATATGTGGAACCAGCATTGCATTCCTGGGATGAAGCCTACTTGATTGTGGTGGATCATTTTCTTAACATGTTACTTTTTTGGATTTTGCTGGGATTTTCTTGAGGGTTTTTGCACGTAAGTTCATCAGAGATATTGTCTATAGTTTCCTTTTTTTTGTACTGTCTTTGTTTGGTCTTGGAATGAGGGTAGTGTTGGCCTCATAGAATAGATTGGGAAGTTTTCCTCCTTTAGAGAGTTTTTTTTTGAAGAGTTTGAGAAGGATAGGTATTAGGTCTTCTTTGAAAGTTTGGTAGAAATCACTGGAGAAGCCATCTAGTCCTGGGCTTTTGTTGTTCTTTTTTTTTTTTTGAATGTTCTAAATCTTTAAAAGTTTATATATGCGTGTGTATATATATAATTTTTATGTATATGTTCTTTTAAATCATTGTTCATTTTTGTACAATGTTTGATTTTTCCTCTCGGGTGTAATCCCCATAAAATTACCAATAATCACCATAAAATTACCAAGAATCACCATAAAATTACCAAGACACACGTGAACCATCACCATAGACTCTTGTGCTCTTCCCTCCAGTTTTGGCCCCTCTCCCTCCCCCTCCACTGATGAATGTCTCCAATTTATAGTTTGCCTGCTTGTTTTTGTCCTCCCCCACCATCCCTTGTATGGTTTCCCTATTTTCCTCCTATAAGTGAAACCAACAGATATTTTTCATTTTCCTTCTGATTTATTTCACTGAGCATAACCCCTTCCAGCTCCTTCTATGTTGTGAATGGCATGAGTTTTTTTTTTTTTTGATTGCTGAGTAGTATTCCATTGTGTATGTGTACCACATCTTTTTGATCCAGTCATCTGTTTTTGGGCATTTAGGTTGTTTCCATGTCTTAGCTATTATAAATAGTGCAGTGAACATAGGAGTGCAGGTTTCCTTTCTAATTAATGTTTTTGTGACCTTTGGGTAGATTCCTAGGAGAATTGATGGATCATATGGTAGCTTCATTTTTGGTAGTTTGAGGGTCCTCCACACAGCTTTCCATTGTGGTTGGACCACTTTGCATTCCCACTAGCAGTGTAGGAGAGTTCCTCCACATCCTCGCCAGCATTTGTTCTTGCCAGTTTTTTTTTTTTTTTAATGTGGGCCATTCTCACTGGTGTGAAGTGGTATCTCATTGTGGTTTTGATTTGCATTTCCCTGATTATAAGTAATATTAAACATTCTTTCATATGCCTGTTGCCATTTGCCTTATCCTCTTTGGAGAAGTGTCTTTTTAGCTCTTCCACCCATTTTTTGACTGGATTGTTTGCTTTGTCTTTGTCGAGTCCTGTGAACTCCTTGTAGATATTTGAAGTCAGTCCCTTATCTGTTGTATGGAGTGCAAATATTTTCTCCCATACCATAGAGTGTCTCTTTGTTTTGGATATTGTCTCTTTTGTGTACAGAAACTTTTTAGTTTGATATAGTCCCAGCTGTTTATCTTTTCCTTCACCTCCTTTGTTTTGGGGGATGAGTCTTTAAAGATGTTTCTGATATGTGTGTCATGGAGTGTTTTCCCTATGTTTTCTTCTATATATTTTATGGTCTCAGGTCTTATGTTCAAGTCTTTTATCCATTTTGAATTGGTTTTTGTGCATGGTATAAAGTAGTGGTCTAGTTTCATTCTTTTGCATGTGATGGACCAGTTTTCCCAGCGCCATTTATTGAACAGACTGTCCTCATTCCATTGCATATTCTTTGCTCCTTTGTCATATATTAGTTGTCCATATATGTGTGGCTTTATTTCTGGGTTTTCAATTTGATTCCATTGTTCTATGTGTCTGTTTTTGCTCCAGTACCATACCGTTTTAATTTTTAGGGCTTTGTAGTATAGTTTGACATCTGGGTGTTTGATACCTCCAGTCTCCTTCGTTTTAGTCTGTAGAGCTTTGACTATTTGAGGTTTTTTGTAATTCCATATGAATTTTAGCAATATTTGTTCTATTTCTTTCATGAAAGCCATTGAGACTTTTATTGGAATTGCATTGACTCTGTAAATTGCTTTTGGTAGGATGGCCATTTTAATTATGTTAATTCTTCCAATCCATGAGCAGGGGATGTCTTTCCATTTCTTTATGTCATCTTCTATTTCTTTTAACAATTTTTATATATTTTTTTTTTGTATAGGTCTTTCACCTCCTTTGTTAGGTTTATTCCCAGGTATTTTTTTCTTTTTTTGGTACAATTGTAAATGGGATGGGTTTTTTTTTTATTTCTTCTTCTTTGGACTGATTGTTTGCATATAGGAAGGCTACTGATTTTTGCGTGTTGATTTTGTATCCTGCTATATTACTAAATTGGTTGATTATTTTGATTAATTTTTCTGTAGAGTTTTTAAGGTTTTCTATGTGTATTACCATATCATCTGCAAATAGTAATAGTTTTACTTCTTCTTTCTCTATTTTAATTCCTTGTATGTCTTTATCTTGCCTTATTGCTCTAACTAGGAATTCTAGTATTATATTGAAAACCAGTGGTGAGAATGGACATATTTGTTTTGTTCCAGATCTTGTAGGGAAGGCTTTCAGCTTTTTCACCATTGAGAATGATATTGGCTGTGGGTTTGTCGTATATGGCTTTTATTTATTTTTTTTTGATACCTCATCCATTCATTTTTATTCTTTTTTTTTTAAGAGAGAAGCATCCTGTGCTTTTCTTATTTTTTTTTTAAATAATAAATTTTATTTTTATATTCCCCCATACAATTGCAAATGCCCCATTCTGACCCCAATCCTTCCCCTCCCGCCCCCACCCCAAAAAGTGTCTCTGGTTCATAGTTTTTTGTTGATTTTGATTTTCACTTTCTTATATTCATTTTCCTGGTCCCTTATTTAAGTTTTCTAGATTCCTGCTATGAGTGAGACCATCCGGTATTTTTCTTTTCTTTTTGGCTTATTTCGCTGAGCATGATCCCTTCCAGCGCCATCCATGTTGCTGCAAATTGCATGTGTTTATCTTTTTTGAACGCTGAGTAATATTCCATGGTATATATGTACCACATCTTCTTGATCCAGTCATCAATTTTTGGGCATTTGGGTTGTTTCCAAAGCTTAGCTATTGTAAACAGTGCTGCTATAAACATAGGGGTGCAGGTGCTCTTTGGAATGGATGTTTCTGTGTCCTTTGGGTAAATACCTAGGAGTGGAATTGCTGGATCATATGGAAGCTCTATGTTTAGTAGGTCCAGAAATCTCCACACAGCTCTCCACA